AATATTATTATTACTATTATCATTATTATTAAGGAAGAAAGAGAAGAAAATGTAAGAAACGACCAAACGTTATTTAAAGAATTGTTAGTTTTTTTTGTTTTTTTGTTGATATGAGACTACCAAAGCGTTAAGGATGATAGCAAATATGAAGGTTTCGAATATAACGAAATCCAATGTTGATAGATAAAAAAATACAATGATACTAGTAACATCTCAAGACACGTAGTTAAATTAGATTCTAAGTTTCATTTTTACCTTGTGGATGAGAATTATTGAATTCAAAACAATAGCCACCATTTTTTCTACCTTTAAATTCGCACAATATTCCCTCAACAGAACGTGACAAAAATAAATAGTTTCCTTGTAATATATTATTGAACAGTTGACGAAAACTTGTAGTTCAATCTCGTTCTTTCGCTCAGACGAAAAGGCTACTGAGAGATTTTTAGGAAATGGGGCTCCATTCTTCTAGCATTATTAACAGAAATATACAAGCACATTTTTCTATGTATGTCTTTTGTCTTCGTTTACAAAAAAATAATATAATTTATGAAGACAATCGGGTCATTTATATGAACGGGTCAGAAAAAGCAGGTCATTTAAATGAACAGGTCAGGACGAACGGGCCATTTAAATGAATGGATCAAAACGAACAGGTCATTAAATTGAAAGGGTAATTTAAATGAATGGGTAATATAAATCAACTGGTCAAAAGGAACAGCTTATTTAAATGAACGAGTCAAAAGGAATGGATCATTTAAAAGAACGGATCAAAACGAACAGATCATTAAAATGAACGAGTAATAAAACTAAATTAGTCAAAAGGAACAGGTTATTTAAATGAACGGGTCAAAAGGAATGGATCATTTAAATGAACGGATCAAAACGAACGGATCATTAAAATGAACGAGTAATAAAAATCTACTGGTCAATTGAAACAGATTATTTAAATGAACAGCTCAAAACGAACGGGTAATTTAAATCAACGGGTAATTTCAATTAACGAGCTAAATCAAACGACCATTTCAATGAACGAGTAATTTATATAAACGAGCTAAAAAGAACGGGTCCTTTAAATGATCGAGTCAAAACAAACTGGTCATTGAAATGAACGAATCAAAACGAATGGGTCATTTAAATGAACGAGTAATTCATATGAGCGAGTTACAATGAACGGGCTATTTCCGTGAACGGGTCAAAAAGAACGGGTCGTTTAAATGAACGGATCAAAACGAACGGGTCATTTATATGGACGGATCAAAATGCATAGGTCATTTAAAAGAACGCGTAATTTATATGAACGAGTCTAAACGAACGGGTCAATTAAATGAACGGCCAATTTAAATGAACGGCTCAAAATGATCGGGTAATTTAAATGAACCGATCAAAACAAACCGATCATTTAAATGAACGAGTAATTTAAGTGAACATATCATTTAAATGAACGGTTTAAAATAACGGAGTTATTTAAATGAACCGGAGAATAAACGTTACGGTCATTTAAATGAAACGGCCATTGTTGTGGATCGTTCAAATTGAACGGGCCTTTTTTTAAAATAAACACGTCAAAACAAACGTATCATTTAAATGAACGAAAAACCTTAAAAATCCGGATTCTTTCGATGATACTAAAGATGGATATAACAGTATTTGATTCTTGGCTCGCGTCACAGATTGGTGTGGGTGTTATATTGGAATTCGATACTCCGTACTATTGATCTTAATTTCCATCAGATTTCTTCCTTGATCAATGGTCTTCTCAGCATTCATCAGAAGAAACAAATCTCTGTCGATTCAAATTTCTTCATCTGTGATAATAGTGTCTTGCATTCACTGCTATTCTGTGACGGCTAAAACTATAATGGCCTTTGAATATTCCTTACAAATGTTGGTTTGAATAAATGAACAGCAGAATTACTATTTACATTAATCAGACTATTGTCCTCATCATTGTCGCCATATTTATTACAACATTTCGGCCGTTGTATGCTCCGGTTTTTTTTTCAGGTAGTTGGAATGTCGAACTGAACCCTTTATTTCGCTCACTGGGGTAGACTGTTCTAGTTCCACGTGCCATATCTAATGGATGTCAGTTATCACTTATCTCCTGTTAATTCCCCTCTCCAAGTTCTTCACCGCCTTAACCAGATATTGAACTCACATTGCACCTAACCAGCGTCTTTATCCACTGTGTCATGTGTGCTTGAGGACATCTGTGTATGAATTTCTGGGTTTTATAAATGTAATGTCTTCAGTAACCATTTTTACCAGTGTTCATATTGCAATTTTTGCTGTTGTCCTTCATGTTTTTGCCAGAGCTCATATTGCAATTTTTGTTGTTATTATGGCTTTTCTCTGGCACTCCTTATTACTGGTTCCCATATGGTATCATTTCTATGCTAAGTCGGCTCAGGAGATTTTTGTGGCCTAGAAAATGTGCTAGGCCATAAAAATCTGTCCTCAAGGAGACACGGTACAGTTGATGAAGGCGTTGGTTGGATCCAGTGACAGGACCCAAATACCTGGTTAAAGCAGTGGAGAACTTGGAGAGGTGGATTAACAGGATATAACTGATAACTGACATCCATTAGACGTGGAACGTGGAACTATAACTATCTACACCAGTGAGCGAAATAAAGGATTCAGTTCGATATTCCAACAACCTGAAGAGGGCTGGAACGTACAACGGCCGAAACTTGGTAATAAATATGGCGACAAAGATGAGGACAATAGTCCGAATAATGTACATAATACCTCATCTCAGAAATATAGACAGATACAGAAGAATTGCCTCTTATTATGATACCAGCAGAGCAAGTGAGTTAACGAGGGAGAGATTTTTTATAGACAATTTTTTTTTCTTTGAAATGAAATTTTAATGTTCGATAGGCACATTATTTAAAAGGGGAGAACGTAGAAGAAGAAAAGAAATGAGAAAAATGGATAGAGACACGAGCAAGTATACAAGAATTGATAAAAGGATTCAAACCCCGCAGTCCAAATAATATTTTCATTAACCCTTTGAGCCATAACCACCGCTTTACCGGTGGTGGACAAAATGACTTTATGACCAGCCACCTGTTGAACAGTGGTAGAGAAAAATAGCATAATACCATCCACCAGTTGAACAGTTGTAGAGAAAAATGGTGTAATGCCCATCCACCGGTTGAACAGTGGCAGACAAAAAGGGCATAAGGTCCATCCACCGGTTGAACAGTGGTAGAGAAAAATGGCGTAAGGTCCATCCACCGGTTGAACAGTGGTAGAGAAAAATGGCGTAATGTCCATCCACTGGTTGAACAGCGGTAAAGAAAAATGGCATAATGTCCAGCCACCTGTTGAAGAGTGGTAGAGAAAAATGGCGTAATGTCCAGTCACTGGTTAAACAGTGGTAGAAAAAAATGGCATAATGCCCATCCATTGGTTGAACAATAGTAGAGAAAAATGGCGTAATGTCCATCCACCGGTTGAACAGTGGTAATAAACAACTCTAAGTAAAATAAAAGAAACAGTTTGACCAAAAGAACATGATGCCCGCGGCTCTAACTGCAGTCACGGGATTATGGCACAGGATCCGTAACCCTAATAAAAAAAACGAAGTCCCGCAATACTGCAACCGAAGTGTTGTTTCCTGGGCAAGATAGCCTGATGGAACCCAACAGTCTAGAGGGTGGTTTTGAATTCAAAGTTTTTCTTATATTCCGGTTAATATCCAAGGCTATATCTTGGTCAGAGATCAAAGGTTTCGATTTCCACTTTTCCCAAGAATATTATCACCTAACTGAATGTAATAAATTCGACAGGAATGCGAACTCTGCTTTACGGGTTTCTCAATGTGAGCCACTATCCGTTAATCCTAAATGCCGTGACAATCTAATAATCCGATTCTTCCCTAAGATTCAGCGAACCCATTTTTCTTGTTAAGAAAAATATAATCCATGAGTTAAAGGTGTGTTTTGCATTTAAGATTTTGTGATTCTTTTCCAATTTAAAATCTATTAAACGCTGGTAAATATTTTGCAAATTTATATTCAATTAACTTGTTTGGGAAGATGGTAATTAAATTTTATTTCAGGTGGCCTATGAAATAATATTTAAGAAGCCCTGCTTTAAATAATATTAAATTATCTACGTGTTATTTTAAATTTAAGTAGATTCAAACATCTTCTAGGCTTTGGGCCAACAAACTTCTTTCTTTTCTTGAAGATATTAATTCATTATTCTTATATTTGTTTCAATCATTTCACCCCAGGCAAGGCGATAACTCCACTAAGATACAAAGGGTTACTGGGTATGAAAGAGAATGAGAAGATTTTAGTGATGAGAAAGAAGAATAAAAACAACAGAATTCAGGAAGTTTTTGATAGATGTAGCACTTAAATTTTTGAAGATTGTAGGTGGCAGACAAGCAAGAAACCGTAAGAATGTTCCACAGATAAAAACTGCGAGAAAAGAATTTCCGGTTTTCGTTATTTCAACAGTAAAATAATGAGACCTAACTGCCAATCTAGTAGTACGTTTAAATCGATGCGGCCGAGGTGACAGGTTGTGTCATAAGTAATTTGACCGTGCATCTCTGTTCATGCTCAATAGTAGAGGAAAACCATGACTAGGTGTAGAGAAGATGTTTTTTTCTTTTTTGATTAGAAGGGTCAGGCAATCAAGGTGACCTAGAAGTCTTATGTAGATACTTAGGAGCAATACTTATTTCAACTGCAAAACGATGAGACCTAATTGCCAATCTAGTAGTACGTTTAAATCGATGCGGCCGAATTACATGTAGTTAATTTGGAGCCTTCTCATTTGGAGATCGTCCCATTAGTTTCCCAAAATGAATATATTTATAACTACGCCCCACCTGCAAGTTTTTTGTAACTGATATATGAATATCTGTGAAATATGGCGCATATTTGTACTGTGGTGCCTGTATATGTCAAGAAGAGGGTGGAGTTGTTAAGGACACTACAACAAGAAATGCGATATTTATGATTAGAATGTTATTAGAGAGAGGGAGAGAGAAAGTGAGAGGGAGGGAGAGACCATGTGAGAGAGGGATTGGGAGGGAAAGAGGGAGAGGGGGAAGTGTGTGAGTGAGAGGAAGAGAGAGGGAGAGAGAGGGATTGGGAGGGAGAGAGGTGAAAGAGAGTGTGAGTGAGGGAGATAGAGTGTGAAAGTAAGAGAGAGGGAGAGACCGTGTGAGAGAGGGATTGGAAGGGGGAGGGGGAGAGAGTATGAGTGAGGGAAATAGAGGGAGAGAGTGTGTGAAAGGAAGAGAGAGGGATAGAGAGGGATTGGGAAAGAGAGAGAGTGTGAGAGGAAGAGAGGGAGAGGAAAAGTGTGAGAGAGGGATTGCGAGGGAGAGGGAGAGAGTGTGAGTTAGGGAGAGAGAGGAAGAGAGAGATAGTGTGAGAGAGGAAGTGAGAGGAAAAGAGAGAAGGAGAGAGAGTGTGTGAGAGAGGTATTGGGAGGGAGAGAGAGGGAGAGAGATTGTGTGAGAGAAAAAGTGAGAGGAAGAGGGGGAGGAAGAGGGAGAGTGTGTGAGAGAGGGATTGGGAGAGAGAGAGAGAGGAAGAGAGGGAGAGAGATAGTGTGAGAGAGAAATTGAGAGGAAGAGGGAGAGAGAGTGTGTGTGAGAGAGGGATTGGGAAGAAGAGGAAGAGGGAGAGAGAGTGTCTGCGTGAGGGAGAGAGAGGAAGAGAGGGAGAGAGAGTGTGAGAGAGGAAGAGATAGGGAGAGATGGAATGAGAGAGAGAGAAAGTAATACTAATGCAGAAGAATGTACAATTATGTTATATAAATTATGCAAAAGCATTTGATAACACACGGATACGGGAAGTAGATCTTTTTTAAAGCATATCACTCCAAGACAGGACGGGGGTGTCACTAGCACGCAAGGGGTTACAGGACGTGAGAGCAATATTAAAAAGGGGGTGTTTGAGGAAAGGATAAAGAAAAGGACGGGGATCAGGATCAAGGCATCAGAAATTATCGATTGACATTACATTTGAATATTTGAAGATTATAGCTATCAGGGAAGCAAGTAAGAGAAATGTAGTTCCACTGTCGGGAAGTGCGAGATAAGAAGCTGTTGGAGTAGCTCTCAGGGAAACAAGTAAGAGGAATGGGGTACCACTCGGGGAGTGCAAGGGAAGAAACTGTTGGAGGAGAATAGACGGATACATTTAACCGTTTCGCCAGTGAACGTGTGGGACCGAGATGCCAAGCTAGTAACAGGCTTAAATTCATGCATTTTGGGTACAAGTGAACGTAACTCGTCAGAGCAGTTGTGAGGAAAACATTTGTAGAAAAGGCAGAGGGAAGCCACAGCACGTCTGTGAGAGAGTGACTGTAGACGACAGCTATTTGTAGATGATAGAATTATCCAGAACTAATACTGGGATCTTGGGCAGATACACAAAAATACAAAAAAGATTAATACAAGGACGCGTTTTCTCCCCAGATATATTCAGCCTCTAGAGCGAGGGGTTTTTTTTACCTAAGGGTACTGGAGACAGTACCAGGATTTTTTATCTGTGGGCGAATTCTTAGCAAGAAATTCAGATGACAATGTGGCCGACGGCCGACACAGAAAAAGGCCAAGATGCGAGTTACAAATTCAAGATGTCAACATGAGGCAAGGCCAGACGTTTGAAAATCTGCGAAGTGTATTAAAGGGGAATTTGAAAATGCGTGGCAGCCTGTCTTGAAGGAGATTTCTCGATTCAAAACCATGCAGAAAGCAAGAGGAATCTTCTCCATTCTCTCCCACGAAGTCATCAAAATTCCCGGTTCAGAAAGGAAATGAATATTTGAAGCGTTCTCATTGCCTGTGTCTTTAAAGCTCGTGCCATTTAAAAAATAAAATTATACACGGTCGTGTTACTTAGATTTATTCATACTGAATACAAAGGATCTACCATACTAAAGATCTATGGCTTAACAAACGAAAATAATTAATTAAACAAAAATCTGCCATGACACACAATTCTCTTTTTCTCCTGCGGTATTCCCGATTTAAAATAATCCATAGAGATTGATATGCCGCTAAACAAAATTAACCAAACCAAACCAATCAAAATATTTAGATTTCGGCATTAAATAACCCATAGAGGTTGATATGCCGCTAAACAAAATCAACCAAACCAATCCAATCAAAATATTTAGATTTCGGCATTAAATAATCCATAGAGGTTGATATGCCGCTAAACAAAATTAACCAAACCAAACCAATCAAAATATTTAGATTTCGGCATTAAATAATCCATAGAGGTTGATATGCCGCTAAACAAAATCAACCAAACCAATCAAAATATTTAGATTTCGGCATTAAATAATCCATAGAGATTGATATGCCGCTAAACAAAATCAACCAAACCAAACCAATCAAAATATTTAGATTTCGGCATTAAATAATCCATAGAGATTGATATGCCGCTAAACAAAATCAACCAAACCAATCAAAATATTTGTAATTGTAGCCATATGAATGCGTACAAAATATATAGGTTACTGCAAAAGAACCTTATAGATGTTGCTATTTCGCTAAGCAGAATCAAAGCAAACTTAAGAATTATTCTCATGGGCGAACCCAAATTAAAATCATATACAGATTAAATAACTTTTGGAAGAATTAGGTTGTTTGAATAAATGAGCCATGGCTTTACCCCTTTTCGTATGTCTACACGCATATCAAAAATCAGCGGATGCATCTATGGATGTATTTACTAATTACAAGAAAAAAATTATATAAAGTAACAACAAAGTCATGAATTATTTATTAAGATGGAAAATAAAATAAAATAGAACAAGAGGTTGGAACTATAATTTAGGATCTCAATTTTCCAGACACAAAAATGGAGAAGCGTTTAAGCCAATCATGAACCAGAAACATTAAAAAAAAATAGTGCAAGAAAATGTTTTGCATTTTTATTTGTTTCGGCTAGTTGAGCAAATTGATCTTATTCAATCTTCTTGAAGAAATAAATTTTCGACTACATTAAAATTTCATTTAATGTAGATGATTATTTGAACGTTAGAAAAAACAAACAAGCAAAATGAAACATTATAGACAAAAAAACTCCACAGAAAAAAAATAAAATAAAATAAAAACAAACTAATTCACAGATCTTATGTTGTACGAAGCGTCTCTTTCTATCTCCCAAATTAAAGAGTGAACTGTTCTTCCTTTATTAAATATCTTTTTTTTTTATCATGATTTCTTCGTCATTATAAGGGGCATTGGTAACAATAATACGAGTAAAAAGGATGTAAAAGAAAAGAAACACTCCTATTGCTGGTGTTGAAAAGATGTTCAATAAATGTGGAATAAGTTCTGAATAAATGGCAATTTACAAAATAAAAAGAAATAGTGTAAAACAAAAACAATATGGCAGATCCTTCTGAAAAAAGAATTAACATGAATCATAATCAAGGGAGGTAATTCATGTCAGGAATGAGGTCGCAAATCTTTATAGAAATTGTTGCATTAATTTCAATATGTACTTTTTCAAACGTTAATATTTCATTTCAAATGTTTCAAAAAGATCTGTTGATCTTTTAAATTGTTAGACATTTTTAAAAACAGTTCACGGGATACAGATGATTATAGACATCATATTTTTTTTTTTTTTTTTAAATGAGATGTTAGCAGACGAATATTAATCTTGTTGGATTTAAGTAGCTCGGAACATATTGGTCCAATTTTTTTCTCCTTTAAAAGAGATTGTATATTAACGTCCCATTACCTAGTTCTAATTGTAATGGTAACCTTTCGCAAATATGTAAATTTAAACTGAAATAAAATTTAAACATATTTAGAATCGAGCATTACGTTATTGACCTTCCACAGGAAAATGGTTAGGGAATTTTAAAAATATACTCTGAATGATGCTCGGAATTTTTGGCACTCGTTTGGTTAATGTGTTTCTGCACTTGGTTAAAGATGTTATTAACAGAAACAGGAGATGTCTTCGGTCTTCCTTTGTTGTCGCCGTTAACAAATTCCTAATTGGATGACAATGTGGTTTTCTTTTAATATCATTTCGCATGAAATATAGGTGGCATAATGGTTTTTAGCATTGAGAATGGAAGCGGGTTAAATTCCAGTTTTTCCTCAAAGAGATACATTTGATTTCATTTCTTTTTCTCCCTCCTTTCCGCTTTCCTTGCCTCAAGCTTTCTTGTTTTCCATCTTTTTACCTCTGGTTTTCTTGTTCTCGCTTTTTTACCATCGGCTTTCTCGTTCCCTCATTTTACCACCGGCTTTCTAAGTTCACGGTCGTTACCACCGGCTTTCTCGTTCTCGCTCGTTGCCTTTGGCTTTCTCGTTCTCGCTTTTTACATCTGGCTTTCTCGTTCTCGCACATTACCGCCGACTTTCTTGTTCCTGCTTTTACCACCGCCTTACTTGTTCTTGCCCTTTACCACCGGCTTTCTCGTTCTCGTTCTTTACCCCTGGCTTTCTCGTTCTCGCTCTTTACTTCTGGCTTTCTCGTTCTCGCACGTTACCACCGGCTTTCTCGTTCTCGCTCGTTACATTTGGCTTTCTCGTTCTCGCTCTTTACCTCTGGCTTTCTCGTTCTCGCACGTTACCATCGGCTTTCTTGTTCCTGCTTTTTACCACCGCCTTACTTGTTCTCGCCCTTTACCACCGGCTTTCTCGTTCTCGCTTTTACCACCGACTTTCTTGTTCTCGATTTTTACGACCGACTTTCTTGTTCTCGCTTTTTACCACCGGCTTTCTCGTTCCCACGCTTTCACTGGCTATCTTGTTCTTTCTCCTTGCCAGAGGCTTTATTGTTCTTCCTTCTTAAATCTATCTTGTTCCTCTGCCCTAAATAGCAAGCTAGTAGACAAAAAAGGAACCCATTCAGTACCTTGGACGCACTCCACAATGTTATCCCTAAAGTCATGACAATTAACATATAAAAATAACCACGGGTGAACCATGAGCGTCTACGGGTTAAACGTACCACACGTATTACAAACATAATTTCCTAAAATCGATTTTATTAAACGGAAAAATTCTAACAAGTATTTTAAATAAAACTATTGTTACGGAAGATTATCATCATAAAAAGTTTTAAGTACCAAATTAAGGAATGCCCACTTCCATTGGGATATTCCTATATCAACATCTACCACACTGAATTTCGTAACAGAAAGATAAATGAAAAAAAATTATTTAATAATTAATGATTTATTCGCAGAGTTGATCGCAAATGAGTATACAGCTTCAATTCATGCAGAGAAGCTGTCATTTCTCGTACAGTAGGCAGGTTGTCATGAATTTACTGTTAAAAAAGGAATGTCATATCAAAAGTTTTATATATATATATATATATATATATATATATATGTGTGTGTAAATAAATTTTTTAAACCTGCACCTGTCCCCGTCGCCTTAACTCTCTTGCCAGTGGATTTTTTTTTCACGTGGAATAGCAAAGCGGGATTACGATTCAATCTAATAAATTATAACGATGCTGTTATAAATTATAACCATACTGTTTGAGCCTTTTATATTATATTCTTACTCTGTCCTGCACATTGAGTTCTAGCTAGATTCTATCCTCGTGGAAAGTATATATATATATATATATATATATATATATATATATATATATATATATATATATATGTATTTTAAGATATTTTTATGTTTTTTTAAGGCCGGTAAATGTTGTTTAATACAGTTTATTATAAACAGAGCATTTACTTAAATATTTCTATCTATAAAAAGAATGTGTGTGTGTGGGGGGGGGAAATTGTATGGCAAAGAAAAAAATGTTTACTCGTGGCGTGTTTCGTCCTTCATCAGAGTAAATTTATATTGGTACGACTACACATGCGCACGAACAAGGGGTGCTGGGTATTTTAGAATTTTTTTATATATATAAAAAAAAATTCTAGCCAAATTCATTTAAAGTCGTTTTTTTTTCTTTCCATCAATTTTGTTAGTAGGTATCATGCACTATGATATCAGAAGATCTGCCAGAAATAGTGAAATGTTGTAAAAGCCAGCGCGCAAATTTACTGTAGATCAAAGCACTCTCTAGAAATTTTTGTCGTCGTGAATTGTTTTTCTACTTTGATTAGAGCAATATTTTTTATGTCAAAATTGTAGTCAGTCTCGTTACAAAGGGCAACCAACACATTTGAAGTATTATTTTGTAAAATGTCCCTTTTGTGTTCACATAATCTTTTATTTAGATTCCTTGAGGTTTCTCCTATGTATTTTTTGTGACAATTATTACAGAGGATTGAGTAACTTCCTCCCTCAGATTGTAGCTTATTGTTTTTTTTAGTATTGACTAACTCTTTTATTGTTTTAAATGTAATAGTAACAAATTTTATGTGGAGTTTATTCTTAGATTTTTTTCGATTGTTAGATTGATGGAGTTGATACGGTAAGATTCATTGTGTTTTTCAGGAAGGGCCAATTTTTGCCTTTTTATGAACCTTTTGTTTTGCATTGAATATAAAATAAATAGGGTACAGGAGAAGTGTTTTCAGTGTATTTCTGCTCTTCGTGTAAATAATCCGGGCTGTATATTCTTAGTGCTATTAAGTGGAGTATTAGGTCGTTTTTGTTGTTTGTTTTCCAGGTGGTCATCGCGTGTTAAATTGTTTTAACGCAGTGTAACTTTATATCTAGGAAGGATAATGTATAATGTGTGCATATGTAAAAAGAATTTCCTGTGACACGTTACATTCTTGGGATTTCATGGAACAACAGTGGTGTTTACCATGGGGGTGGGTAGATATGGGAATGTAGAGAATAAAGATGAAATTTAAAAAAATATTTTTTAAATATATACAGGGTGGGATAGGTAAATTGTCGCCATTATATATTTTTAATTTCGCGCATGCAGTTTGTTTGTTTTTGATTTTTGTTC